CAGACACCTGATGAGGCATAGTGATGAGTGTTTAGCGAGTGCATATGTGATTGGGTGAGTGCGTGTGTATGCACGTGTGTACGTGTGTGTTTACACTGGCGCTCGCGCGTGCGTGCACGCGAGAGAGAGAGAGAGTGAGTGTGTGTGTGTGTGTGTGATTACGTGTGAGTGAGTGGTTGAGTGGGCGGTGGAACGGAGGGAGTGCACACGCGACTGTCCGGTTGCCACTCACTTCCGCTCAGCGTTGGTTACGGAGCAGCTGTGTCGATGTACACATTGACAGAGCGATGTACGTATGGTGTAGATGACGGATGGTGGTGCAGTGTCGGTGTGTCCGAGAGTTGTGTGTTCATCAGGTGTGTGCAATTAGAAAAGCATGTTTCCGCCCAGGCTCGAACTGGGGACCTTCTGTGTGTTAGACAGACGTGATGACCACTACACCACGGAAACGACAATTGTGACATCCTCGCGCGCCAACTCACACAACAATTACAACTACGTCTCCTACACTAGTCCAACTCATACTCACATGCATATCCACACAGCGCAGACGCTCGCGCACACTCGCACACAAACACAACACATCAACAAACACAGCTGCCAACCAGTCAACGCCACAATCATCTCACCATTCAGTCCGACTAACTGAATGCACGTCTCACAGCCACGCATTCTCCCTCCAATCAACCTGTCAACCGACATGTTAACCAACGTCAGATTAAGACACACTGCATCTGTCACCCCAATCCAGCAGAGTCACTCACCAGTCACGAGCACCCAACACAAAGTCCACTGGCACAGGTTCGATTCACTCAACACCAGCTTCACCAGAGGTCACGCTCGTCATACTCGCTGACAATTGTAACGAGCAACAATGCTCCACTCCACCACAAACCTCGCTCTGCCACGTACACATCACCGACTCGACCACTGGCACACCTGAAACACTCCACTCAGAGTATTCCACACATCGACCTACGGCATCACTGCAAATCGACCGTCGTATCACCTACTGCATCGACCATGCTGTTCACCATCCTCACAGAATGATACAATGAGCCTAGTGTCTCAACCCGACCTGTGTCCATCACGTTGTAGTTGCAGTGGCAGTTGTAGTGTGGTGATGTTGTTGTAACTCTCTTCCACATATCATGTGCTCAACACTCTCCGGTCTGCAAAGATATCTACCAGTGAAGCACTTTCGGTTATATCGCTCTCAGGATATACCCTGGTAAAACCAATGCTTGATTGGTGACAATCAACAACCAGTTCCAATCATATCACACTCGTCAACGTCCGCTTCGAATGCCAGTCGACTGGACGACATGACAGTTAGTGTACACGCGCGTTCAGACAGCATTGTTCTGCAGATTATGCAAATGTCGACAGTGTCACTTGATCCGTTTGTACACTAGTGCTTGTGTCGTCCAGTGCAGATCTCCAGAAGCATCCTCATGTGCATGTCACCATATCTGGATGATCGTCACTGACACTACGAATGAACGTTTGGACCAGTCAACACACAACGATTTGCGTCTCAGTCAAAAACTCCTCGACAGAGTTGTCGGCGAGTCGCAGACACTGACAGACACCTGATGAGGCATAGTGATGAGTGTTTAGCGAGTGCATATGTGATTGGGTGAGTGCGTGTGTATGCACGTGTGTACGTGTGTGTTTACACTGGCGCTCGCGCGTGCGTGCACGCGAGAGAGAGAGAGTGAGTGAGTGTGTGTGTGTGTGTGTGATTACGTGTGAGTGAGTGGTTGAGTGGGCGGTGGAACGGAGGGAGTGCACACGCGACTGTCCGGTTGCCACTCACTTCCGCTCAGCGTTGGTTACGGAGCAGCTGTGTCGATGTACACATTGACAGAGCGTGTACGTATGGTGTAGATGACGGATGGTGGTGCAGTGTCGGTGTGTCCGAGAGTTGTGTGTTCATCAGGTGTGTGCAATTAGAAAAGCATGTTTCCGCCCAGGCTCGAACTGGGGACCTTCTGTGTGTTAGACAGACGTGATGACCACTACACCACGGAAACGACAATTGTGACATCCTCGCGCGCCAACTCACACAACAATTACAACTACGTCTCCTACACTAGTCCAACTCATACTCACATGCATATCCACACAGCGCAGACGCTCGCGCACACTCGCACACAAACACAACACATCAACAAACACAGCTGCCAACCAGTCAACGCCACAATCATCTCACCATTCAGTCCGACTAACTGAATGCACGTCTCACAGCCACGCATTCTCCCTCCAATCAACCTGTCAACCGACATGTTAACCAACGTCAGATTAAGACACACTGCATCTGTCACCCCAATCCAGCAGAGTCACTCACCAGTCACGAGCACCCAACACAAAGTCCACTGGCACAGGTTCGATTCACTCAACACCAGCTTCACCAGAGGTCACGCTCGTCATACTCGCTGACAATTGTAACGAGCAACAATGCTCCACTCCACCACAAACCTCGCTCTGCCACGTACACATCACCGACTCGACCACTGGCACACCTGAAACACTCCACTCAGAGTATTCCACACATCGACCTACGGCATCACTGCAAATCGACCGTCGTATCACCTACTGCATCGACCATGCTGTTCACCATCCTCACAGAATGATACAATGAGCCTAGTGTCTCAACCCGACCTGTGTCCATCACGTTGTAGTTGCAGTGGCAGTTGTAGTGTGGTGATGTTGTTGTAACTCTCTTCCACATATCATGTGCTCAACACTCTCCGGTCTGCAAAGATATCTACCAGTGAAGCACTTTCGGTTATATCGCTCTCAGGATATACCCTGGTAAAACCAATGCTTGATTGGTGACAATCAACAACCAGTTCCAATCATATCACACTCGTCAACGTCCGCTTCGAATGCCAGTCGACTGGACGACATGACAGTTAGTGTACACGCGCGTTCAGACAGCATTGTTCTGCAGATTATGCAAATGTCGACAGTGTCACTTGATCCGTTTGTACACTAGTGCTTGTGTCGTCCAGTGCAGATCTCCAGAAGCATCCTCATGTGCATGTCACCATATCTGGATGATCGTCACTGACACTACGAATGAACGTTTGGACCAGTCAACACACAACGATTTGCGTCTCAGTCAAAAACTCCTCGACAGAGTTGTCGGCGAGTCGCAGACACTGACAGACACCTGATGAGGCATAGTGATGAGTGTTTAGCGAGTGCATATGTGATTGGGTGAGTGCGTGTGTATGCACGTGTGTACGTGTGTGTTTACACTGGCGCTCGCGCGTGCGTGCACGCGAGAGAGAGAGAGAGTGAGTGTGTGTGTGTGTGTGTGATTACGTGTGAGTGAGTGGTTGAGTGGGCGGTGGAACGGAGGGAGTGCACACGCGACTGTCCGGTTGCCACTCACTTCCGCTCAGCGTTGGTTACGGAGCAGCTGTGTCGATGTACACATTGACAGAGCGTGTACGTATGGTGTAGATGACGGATGGTGGTGCAGTGTCGGTGTGTCCGAGAGTTGTGTGTTCATCAGGTGTGTGCAATTAGAAAAGCATGTTTCCGCCCAGGCTCGAACTGGGGACCTTCTGTGTGTTAGACAGACGTGATGACCACTACACCACGGAAACGACAATTGTGACATCCTCGCGCGCCAACTCACACAACAATTACAACTACGTCTCCTACACTAGTCCAACTCATACTCACATGCATATCCACACAGCGCAGACGCTCGCGCACACTCGCACACAAACACAACACATCAACAAACACAGCTGCCAACCAGTCAACGCCACAATCATCTCACCATTCAGTCCGACTAACTGAATGCACGTCTCACAGCCACGCATTCTCCCTCCAATCAACCTGTCAACCGACATGTTAACCAACGTCAGATTAAGACACACTGCATCTGTCACCCCAATCCAGCAGAGTCACTCACCAGTCACGAGCACCCAACACAAAGTCCACTGGCACAGGTTCGATTCACTCAACACCAGCTTCACCAGAGGTCACGCTCGGC